TTCGGTAGCAAATCAATATGCTCGCCTTACAGCCCAATATTTTAATCCATCTCATATAACACCTTTGCGTAAGCACATGCTGTGACCTTTCCTATTGATCTCTTTGTTCCCCGGTCCCTGTTTTTTCTCAAAGAGCCCTGACACACACATAAAACACACGCCCGTAGTTACCATGGGGATTATCTATGCAGTTCATGTCATGCACCAGTAATTCCCACCAGGAAATGCCACATTTATGGCAGGTCTTCCTGCCGCATTCACAACCACACTTTTTCACTGGTGACCAGAATTTCAGACACTCACTCCAGAAGGAACACACTTTTAATCTGACTTCTAATCTCAAAAGAATGTCACAGCCTATTGGCCTGGCTGACCACCTTGCCTGTCTTCAGTCTTCAACAAGTTCTGGTTGTACTTTTCTAATGACGAGGCCTTCTCTTTATGTGGAGCGGACGTGCTAGTGGCCACTGAGAGAATAGCCTCTAGCAGAGAGGAGAATGTGATTCAATTTACCTGCAATTCCTTTCAGGTATCTGGAAACAAATGGCCAATTGTCCGCATGCTCGCCTGAACGATCAAAGACCGGGAGAAAACAGTGCCCACGGACCAGGAGGAAGCCAGCTCCATTCCTTCCCACCGCATGAGAGTGCCAGAGGGGGTGAAGGGTGGAGCGGCCCTTTCAGCACACCACGTGGTCCGTATTTTATCATCCGTCACTGGCAGTGCCACCTGCATTGCTTTCATCAAAGGCGCCAGACCAACACCATGACCACACACTGTCACTCTGGAGTGCCACCCCAACTTGACCCTGGAGCCAGCCCCTCAATATGCCAACATTCAACTCAAATGTTCCAGACCATGCATAATCAAAATTATTCCTTTTTTAGTTATGGCTTTGTGACAGTCAGACTCTACATTTCACAGAATCAGGAGAAAAAGAGAGCACAGCTTACATCTATTGTTTGTTTTTTGAGACAGAGTCTCACTCTGTCGCCCAGGCTGGTGTGCAGGGGCACCATCTCAGCTCACTGAAGCCTCCACCTCCTGGGTTCAAGCAATCCTCCCACCTCAGCCTTCTGAGTAGCTGGGACTACAGGTGTGCATCACCACATGCAGTTAATTTTTGTATTTTTAGTAGAGATGGGGTTTCACCATGTTGGTCAAGCTGGTCTTGAATGACCCCAAGTGATCCACCCACCTCAGCCTCTCAAAGTCCTGGGATTACAGGTGTGAGCGACCATGCCCAGCCACTTCTATTGTTTTTTAAGGAGTTCTTAAAGGCTGAAAAGAGACATTTTAACATATGCCCCAAATAATATTCTCTACAGTCCTCATGGCCACAGAAAAACCTACTGTGTAAGGACCTCTTGCCTGCTAAAAGTTCACTGACATGCCAGTCATCTGAGACCTAGGACCACATTTTCCTATACAAACAACATGACAAAGCTGCAGTTAAGTTCCAAGGCAGCTCACAAAAAGCCATTTAACCCACCTCACTCCTAAAGTAGGACTGGGCACTCCGGAGCCACCCACCAGCCAGCAGGGCCAGTGATGGCTCAGGGTATCCGTGCTGGCTGCAAGGGTAAACGGGTCCTGTTGGGCTGGGACCCTGTAGAAGGTTTTAAATCAGGGACAAATGTAGAAAAAAAAGCAAGGAAGAAAATAATTTCTTATAAAAATAGACAGCAGATGAAAACCACTTTTCAGCTCCCCCTTCCAAGGAGTAAGAAAAGCTGACCGGTGCTGGGCTGGCTTGATGAGGCAAGCAGCCATGCTGGGGAAGCTCACATGACAACCAACTGCAGGTGGCTTCTGGGAGATGCAGGCAGCTGCTAGGAACCGCGAGTGGCCTCTCAGAGCTGACAGCAGCCTCCACGTCAGCCAAAAAGAGGCCACGACTCCATCCTACAACTAGAGAACATGAATTCAGCCAACAACCTGAGGGAACGTGGAAGAGGACACCTCCCTAGTCAGGCCTCCAGATGAACACCAAGCCCAGGCCAGCATCCAGACTGTAGCCCGGTGAGACCCCAAGCACAGGCCCCAGCTAAGCCCTGACTCCTGCTCTGATTCCTGGCCCACAGAAACATTGAGAAAATAAGATGTGTGTTGTTTTAAGCCAGAGAAATAGATGACTAACCATGGTCCAAACACTCTCGTGTGATAATGAGTGAACTGGCGTTCATTTGCTCAGTGAATCCTTGTGGGTCTCAGAACAAGAGCAGCAACTTTCTTTAATACATTGCTTCAGTGGTGGGGATAACCACGACTTTGCCTGAAACTATTTCATTTAACGGAGGCTGAATGATTTGAAAGTAATTTCCTCCTCCTGGAAAAATGCCATATATTAAATAGCTGTTACTTCGTTTTTTAAAAATTGGGTGATCTTCCTTGGGCCATGGTTGTAGGGAGTTATGGGAGCTACAAAGATGAGACCATACATCGTCCCTGCCCTCAGAGTGCACACTATGGAAAGAAAGAAGCAAGCAAGTAACTGTTCACAATGATCCACCCATGCAGCAACTACCTATTATTCCCCTACTGTGTGCCCTCTCTCCTTGCAGAGGCTGAGGAAGCGCAGGGAACAGAACAGAAGAGAGAAGACAGAATGTGATAAACCGAACAACAAGCGTGGCCAAGACTGAAAGGCCTCCAGGAGATGTGGCACCTATGTTACCACCTGGCCTGATTCTCTTCAACAGGAAAAGGTGACATCATGGCGGTGCCCAGTAAGCCATAAATTCCCCCGATTCAGACAGGGTTCAGGACTTGTGCCCCAACACCACCCAAGGGCTTCCCCTCACACCTTGATAATGCACTGCCCAGCCCTAGAAGCGGACTCTGACTTAGGCTATTCACTCAGATGTCAACGCCCAGCCCCAGTGTCAGGTAACACCGGAAGGTGTTCTAAAATAGTCTGTCAAGACAGCAGAAATACATCTGACTGGGGCGGTGGAGGGGGGAAGAATGCAGAATGAACTCACTCTAATTCAAGTCATTCTACTAATTAAGCAGCTAAACAGGGAAGGAAAGAAAAGGGTGCTCAAGGCTCACACACCCCAACACACAGTGGCTTCTGGCCTGTGCAGAATATCCTCCCACTTCCCTGCTGGCCGGCAGCTAATTTTACCCACTGTCTTTGGGAAGGTGCACCTGGTAATTCTGCACCTTTGTTTCTGACATTGACAAGGCTGTAGCAGCCTCATAAACAAGGTGCTTACTTATAGCCTAATCCTCCCCTGGAGCTTGAAGCTTGTGGGCAGCCCCTCCTTCCTCCTTAATTTTTATTTCAAGGCAGCCTGCTCAAAGTTGCTTACATGTGGCAAAGGTCACTGGCTATATCCCCCAGAAGTCCTTCTGATTAAGATCTCAGTGTGGGCTGCTGAGCCTGGGTATGTCTGCATTCCTAATATAGCCATAGTCTCAGAATTAACTATATGAATGGCCTCAAATGACTGTAAGAATGTGAGAGAGTGGGAGACAAGTCAGGTGAGGGTCATTACACACACACACACACACACACACCCACACACACACTTTCCCTCAACTGAAGAGTTTTAGCTCTATTTTTTGTAATAAAATAGCAGTGATAATGATGAAGCCTCCATACTCAGTAAACATTTTTAGTTTAATGGAGAAATGGCCAGAGCAATTAGTTTCAAGTATTTTATAGTGGAACTTTTTTTCCCAAATGTTGGGAACAGGCCCCCAAATCTGGCCATAAATCAAATCTCTGTAGCACTGTGTTGTGTTCGTGATGGCCATCATGCCCACGTTGAAGGTCGTTGGTTTACTGGAATGAGGGCAAGGAACACCTGGCCCACAGAGGACGGAAAACCCCCTGAAGGTGTTCCTAAACCACAAACATTATCATGTGTGATCTGTGCCTCAAGGACACGCTCCTGCTGCAGATAACTAGCCAGACCCATCCCTGTATTTCCCGTAAGGAATGCTTTTAATCTATAATCTATAGAAATAATGCTTATCACTGGCTTGCTGTCAATAAATATGTGGATAAATCTCTGTTTGGGGCTCTCAGCTCTGAAGGCTGTCAGCCCCGATTTCCCATTCCACACTCTATATTTCCGTGTGTGTTTCTTTAATTCCTCTAGCGCTGCTGGGTTAGGGTCTCCGACCGAGCTGGTCTCGGCACCCAAACTACATCCTACGCCAAACCCAAATAGAAAAATCAGACAAAAATGAAGCTACTCGTATTTAAAGAAAGATAGGGGACACAGAGCCTCAGTGGCCAGCCTTGACTGCCCCCCTGCCCCACTTGGCTCTTATGCCCACTTGGAATTAACTCTCAAGCTGCAAGGAACAGCCTGAAACACCACTGCCCTAGAGCAGACGGCTATAGCCCCTGAACCAGGAACGAGTTACGGCAGAATTCCTAAGTAAAAGGGAGAGAAGTAAGGAGAAGAGTCAGAAGAATGGGAGCAAGATGAAAAGTTCTGGGGTAGGAAGAGAACTGGAAGCAGCCCTTGACCTTGAGAATTGCAAAGGCTCCAGGAGTCACACAGAGAAACACAGCAGGACACAGCACAGCCGCTGTGCTGCACGCCAGTGCCCAGGAGCTGGGTGGCGCACAGAGCACAAGACACAGTGCCCAATGTCCGCACCAGGAATGACGTGGGACAGCTCCAGGCTGATCCTTCCCCAGAGCCTGCCCTGGTGACCAGGCCTCAGGGACGGAAGGCCTGGCCAGCCACAGGATATCAAGAGTTCTGTTGGAAGGAAATGCAGGAATTTAAGGAACACACTCAAGTGAAAAGACAAGCTTGTTTTCTGCTGGGTTAATGGGTCTAGACAGTTAGCCACATGAGTCTGAAAAATTACAGCAGTTGGGAATCTAAAAAAGAAGACAACTGGGGCTTTTAGTTGACAGTTAACTTAAAAAGTCAACAGACAACCAGCAGTCTAAATGAATAACATATTCTAGCACAAAACAGAATAACATATTCTAGCATGCTGCTGTCATGCTGACAGGTAGACTGTACCTGGAATACGACGTGAAGCCTCAACACCTTCTCACCAGAGGACAGCCTCGATCTTGCAGCAAAGAAGTGTCAGGACGGATACAAGGAAGGTTTCAGAATCCTGAAAGGCAAGGAAGAGCCATCAGATATGTTCAGTTTCGACCCCAGAATCTCCAAGTCTGTGGCTGGTACAGTGAAAACGGATTCAGCTCAGCCCTGCAGTGGGAAACACATGCCACCTTAACAGCAACTGAAGACAGGGTTGACGGCAAAGGGGACCACCATGGGGGCGTCATCAGGGGAATTCAGGGAGAAGATGGGAAGCCAGACTAGATGCCCTCCACACCAGAGATTCCACCGCTTTACCTCTGAAATCGACTCTCATATTTCAAAGAGGAAGATATAAAAGCGTCACACTGGCAATTTCCACAAATCTAGGGCACAGTCGTAGGCATGCAAAACCTCTGAGGCCCCGGTTAGGGGCCAAGAAGGGGAGCGAGTCCGCTCCTGACACTGGTATTGACCAGCAAGGTCAGCAGGGGCAGAAAACATTAGCTGGTGTCTTCTGAAAACACTTGGACTCCAATTCGTACAATCAAGCATTCGGTGATGGAGTTCTATGGGTACTATTAACAGCTGCCATGGCAGCACGGAGCACACGTCTGCCCATAACACCAAGAGTCTCAGCATGGGCAGAAGGTTATCCTAAATCTGGGAAGCAGGACCTTGTTGCCTTGGAATGGAATCGTGCTGGCCAGTGACTGGGAGTACCTGGTATGAACACAGCCTGAGGACGCGCTAGGAAGAACCTCGTAGATGCATGGCATATAAAGTCCTTTGTTTTCTAAAGCTTACCATTTCCACTCTGCACAGAATCTTGCACTCGCCCAGGAGCTGAAGAGGTTTAATTAAGCTGTCTGAAATATGATTTGCACCTAATGTGAACCCAGATAAGATTATCATTACACAAAAAATGCACATAAATATGCTCATCAACAGCTAGAGTTGTATAACTTAGCAGCAAACCAGACTGCCCACAATTGGAATCTTATTCCATTCCCACCTGCGTCATCTTTCATACATTGATATTTCATCCTACATTGATATTTCATTCCTTTTCACTTTCTATGTTGAAAATGTCAAACCTACAGAAGTTGAATGCTTACTCTTTATCTACACTTCCCAATATTTAACATTTTGCCATATTTGCTTTATCCCTCTTTAGACAAATATATGCTTTCCTTATGACCATTATGATAAGCAAGCTATAGCTATCATGACAACTACCTCTAAATATGTCAATAAGTAATTGCTAAGAATTACATTGTGTTACCAAACTGTAATGCCATGATCACACCAGTGGAACTGAACATTAATTCAATAGTATTTAAAACACAGTCCACAGGATTAAGAAAATGTGGTACATATACACCATGGAATACTATGCAGCCATAAAAAAGGATGAGTTCATGTCCTTTGTAGGGACATGGATGAAGCTGGAAACCATCATTTTGAGCAAACTATCGCAAGGACAGAAAATCAAACACCGTATGGTCTCACTCCCAGGTGGGAATTGAACAATGAGAACACTTGGACACAGGGTGGGGAACATCACACACCAGGGCCTGTCGTGGGGTCGGGGGAGAGGGGAGGGATAGCATTAGGAGATATACCTAATGTAAATGACGAGTTAACAGGTGCAGCACACCAACATGGCTCATGTATACATATGTAACAAACCTGCACATTGTGCACATGTACCCTAGAACTTAAAGTATAATAAAAAAAAAAAAGAAAAAAGACACAGTCCATAATCAAGTGTCCCTAATTGTCAATTACTGCTCTTTCTTGACGCTCTATCATGTACCATGAAAGCACCGAGAACAATGAAGGTTGATAAAGTCAGGCTCACAGCCCACCAGGGACATAGCATACTGGTGCCCCACTGCAGGGTGGGTGCCAAGGGGCCATGATTGGGATTCGTAGTTTAAAAAGTTAACTCTGGAAGAAAAGGGGCAGAATGTAGAAGGGAAACAACTGACAACATTTGCTTCGAGTGATAAAATTTGAGAGCTTTCAAGAAAAAAATGGGAATTTCAGAAAACTTGTATTCGTCATCAAGATGTGGACAGCTCCCTAAAAGTTGAATTTTTCCATGACACTGGGGGTGACGTTAACAAATGTGATATTTTAAAAATATATGATGAAATGTGCCAGCATTTGGAAGATCTACATGATTCAGTAAAACATTAATTCAGTAAAACAGAATCATAAATGTGTAGACTGATTCGAAGTGCAAGATAGACCCATCATTTTAGAACAAAGAGCTTACTGAGATGGCTTCAGATTCCACAGTGGAACCCACTATTGCCTGTGGAGTTTTAATGTAGTATCAAGAAAGAATATCTACAATTACCTGAAAAGGCCACTAAAGTGTTCCTCCTTTTCTAGGTACATCCCTGTGAAGCCATATTTTCCTTACATACTTCAACTAAAACAACACGTCCAAACTGACTGAATGCAGAAGCACATACATGAATCTAGCTGCCATAAGCTAAACATTAAAGAGGCTTATAAACATGTAAAACAATGCCACTCTTCTCACTGAATTATTTTTGTTCTGGCAAATAGTTACTTTTCATAAAAATGTTACTTATAGTAACACGAAATGGGTTAATCCTTGTTATTTTAGGTAGATTAAGACATTTATTTCAAGTCGTTCTAAATTTTAATTTCTTTTTTTTTGTTTGTTTTTTGTTTTTAAGACAGGGTCTCACTCTGTCACCCAGGCGACAGAATGCAGCGGCACAATCTTGGCTCACTGCTGCCTCGACCTCCCTAGACTCAAGTGATTCTCCCACGTCAGCCTCCCAAGTAGCTGGGACTACAGGTGCGCACCACCATGCCTGGCTAATTTTTTGTATTTTTCATAGAAACGGGGTTTCGCCACATTGCCCAGGTTGGTCTCAAAATTCCTCAGCTCAAGCAATCCACCTGCCTCAGCCTCCCAAAGTGCTGGGATTATAGGGGTATGCCACTGCACCCAGACTACATTTTATTTCCAATTCATAAGTGTTGATAGACACAACCCACATAAGCGAAGCTTCTGGGAGTCCTCAATACTCTTTAAGGGTGTCAGAGGGGTTCCAGACCCTACAGTTTGAGAACCAGTGCTTAAAAGGTTGCCCAGTGAAATGAACACAGCCAAGCTTAATATACACTCAACAGGAGGAATGCTGCCGTCCTGCTCCTTAGGCATGAATTCAGCAGCCTGCCGCAGTGACGCTTGCTCCAGTCGCAGTCTCCTGTCATGGTATAAAAGCAGTTAATGCTAAACTTAAAAGTCTAAAGAAAGGCATGCCATATGTTAAGCCAGGATGAACTCATCAGGATTAATGGGACTGGAATGCATAGCAAATAAATTCATTAGCATCACTTCCCTTTAATCCAAAAATGTTCCAACCAATTTATCGTAATTTTTGAGATTTGAAAATTCCTTTGTTAAAAGCAGAGTAATGCAATGCTACGCCTCAGACGTAAAGAGTTCAATTCCATTTGTTTCAAAAATACAGCAAGCAGCATTCCAACATTACCCTTGATGGGCTTCCAGGAGTACATGCGGACTGTAAAAGTGGGATTGTGACACCATGTGGCTATATTGTAATACAGTCATGTGTCATGACTTAATGACAGGGATGTGTTCTGAGAAATGCGTCTTTAGGTGATTTCATCCTCGTGTGAACATCCTGCAGTGTACTTAGAGCGTACTGACAGAAACCTAGGTGAGATAGCCTACTGCACACCTAGGCTGCATGGGATAGCCTTGGCTCCTAGGCTACAAACCTGTACAGCATGTTTCTGTACTGAATACTGTAGGCAACAGTCACACAATGGTAAGTATCTGTGAATGGAAACATAGAAAAGGTACAGCAAGAATAAGATACAAAAGATAAAAATTGGTACCTCCTTATAGGGCACTTACCACGAACAAAGGCTGCAGAACTGGAAGTTGTCCTGAGTGTCAATGAGTGGGGGGGAGTGAACGCGAGTGGGGGGGTGAACGTGAATGAGTGGGGAGTGAATGTGAAGGCCTGGGACACAACTGCACACTGCTGGAGACTTCAGGAACACTGTACAATGAAGCTACACTAAATGTGTAAAAAATATTTTTCCTTCAGTCATAAATTAAGCTTAGCTTACTGCAACATTTTTACTTCATGAACTTTTTTGTAACTCTTTTACTTTTTCGTAATAACACAGTTTAAAATACAAACATTACACAAAAGTACAAAAATATTTTTATGTCCTTATTCTACAAGCTTTTTCTATTTTGAATTTTTTTTTTTTTTTTTAACTTTTTCAACTGTCTTGTTAAAAACCAAGATGCAGACATACACGTTAGCCTGGGCCTACACAGAGCCAGGATGATCAATGTCACTGTCTTCCACCTCTGCGTCTTGTCCCACTGGAAGGTCTTCAGGGGCAGGAACACACAGGGAGCCGTGATCTCCTGTGATAACAATGCTTTCTTCTGAAATACTTCCTGAAATAACTGCCTGAGGCGACTTTACAGTTAACTTTTCTTGTAAATAGGACTACACTCTAAAATAATGATAAAGATTATAATATAGTAAATACATAACCCGGTAACAGTCATTTATTATCAAGTATTATCTACTGTACCTAATTGCACGTGCTATACTTTTAGATGGCTGGCAATGCAGTACGTCTGTTAACCCCAGCACCACCCAAAACACGTGAGTAACGCGTAGCAGGACAATGTCACAAAGGATAAGACATCAATAGGCAACAGGAATTTCTCCGATCTATTATAATCTTATGGAACTACTCTCATAGATGAGGTCTATAATAAACCAAAACATCATTACAGGGCCCATGGCTGTATATTTATAGTGGACACCCAGCAGGCCAAGAGAAAATCCGTGCATAAAATAACCCCAAAATATCAGAAAACATATCCCACTGAACGATTCAGAAATCAAAAGGAGTCAGGTCTTTCCACTAAGTACACTGATAAGAACCACTAAAAAAAAACTTTAAATTTATTAAATATAATGCCCAACTTTTTGGCAACTTACATAGCAGCTTCGCCTGTTCTTA